CTGTGATATTATATTTCTATACCATTTTCAATATCGCCTAACTCACACATACACACATAGACTCAGGATTTTTATTTATGGCATATTTTAAGTTTGGTGTTTCGAGCGGCGTTTAATAAACTTTTAAGCTGCTTTGCTTGCGTCCTTGAGGCATTTGCTTTATTTCTTGACTAACAACAAGTTTAAGTCCTTGACCTTAGTGTGTTGTTGTCGTTGAACTGCAGCCCACACAGAAGCCACAAAACCAGCACACCACACACATACACAGAGCACAGACAAATTGCCATAAAATAGTCACAATAATCACCATCGTCATTTCGGGCCATTGGGCAAAGCGAAACTGGGAGTAAGTAACCAAAAAGTGCGTTTGCGGCCCAGCTAAATTTGCCATTAGACGCGGTCTTAATATAGCAATAGTCACACACATTTCGTTGCTGGGTTCTGTCACGTCTGTTTGGTCGGGCATTTGTTGGCTTTGGATCTATTTGGCTGCACGTCTGCCAGAAATCACGTCTCATCTGACGCTGGACATGTTTATGTCGTTGAACGGCGAACTGTGAACCGTGTGAACTATGCGCCCGGCCAACACTTAGAAGGCCAACTCTTTAAACCATAAATAACCGCAGTGTCTCCCATTATACAGTCGGCAATTTCAGCCACCAAGAACCACATCTGATGCGAGTTATCTATTGCCCACTTCCACGCACGTTTTGTGTATTTACGGCCAACCCAACTATGGGCACTGAGTAACACAATTCCACAAAACTGCAAATAAAAACAAATTGTTTTAATTCTAGAAGAAAGTATAGATCCATTACTTGGCAAGTTCAAAGCAGTTATGAAAGTCGTTTAGAAAATATTCAGCAAAAATATATTTATTAAAACTGGCCGGGAGGCGAATTTAATGGAAAAAGTTATCTTTTGAAAGATTTCAAAATAATAGTATAAGTTTCGAATCGATTAAAATACAAATTAAAGTAAATTTTTTTCTGAATTTATGGAAATATTGGCAAATTGCATAAACATCGAATCGATTTAAACATTAACAAAAGTCAATAAACGTTAGATAGTTTTTGCTTCCTTAACTAAAGCGGAATTCGCGAAATTTGTAACCAATCTATGCAAGTTGGATGATGTAAATGAGACATATATAAATATTATTATTATAACTAACTAAGTGTTGAACTACATAAATTATTTAAGAGGAAACTATAATATGTATTTTATTGCTCTCTATATGTTATATATAACAGTTCATTTGGTTACAGCATTGAACCACATTTGAGGTTAGTGTTTCACTTACTCTGTTGGCTAGTGTAATTGAAATGCTCGACTATTGCAATTGGAAAGGTAAACAAATTAGACCGCAAGCGAAAAACATGACATTAACAAAGTGCCCAAAAATTGTGCAAATGGAAGAACACAGCAATACGATACGATGCATAGTTAAAAACCGAAAAACCGAAACTGGATAGCCTCAAAAAGGCCAAAGAATTTCCAGCTTGTATGCTCCCTTCCGCTAATGCTGATTCTGATGTATGTATGGCAATAGACAGTCGTGAGTGGCAGCTGAAGCGCCTAAAATGGAACAACAAGCTGCGGGAAATCGACTGTCGGCAGGAGGAGCCGCAAATAGATTCCGAATGAGCACGCGGATGCGACAGACCCCGACAATTGCGAACTGTCCGGCTAAATTTGTTTTTTTTTGTTTTTTTTTTTTTTTGCTTTATCCTGTTATGGAGGGGGAAATCGGAAATCGTTGCTGTCGTCAGTCTTGACATTTCGGTTTGTTATGGCAGTGCGTGTCTGTATTTGTATCTCTGTATTTGTATCTGAGTATCTGTTGTCTGTGTATTGGCTAGCAACTGTGGATTTGTCAGCAGCAATTACCGTTGATCTCGAGTGTTTTTTATAGCCATCTTTTGGTTTTGTTATTGCTGTTATCGTTGTTATTGTTGCTGTTATGGCTGTTGGCACGTATTCCCATGTTCAACTCATCGCATTCAATTTGCTTGATTTTATTTCCGTATTTTTCGTCGTTCGCCGTATTTTACTATTGTTGTTGTTTTTGCCTGGCGGCACCTGCATCTACCCGTATATTTCTGCTTATTTTCTTTCCTTCGTTTTTTTTTTTTTTTGGTACACGATTTTGATTTCTCGCGATGGTGAATCGTTTGCAACTGCAACTTGAGTGTGCAATTTGATTTGATTTTGGTAGTCACAAGGCAGTGCTTTGGCAAGTCCTTGCGGCATGTCCTCTTGATGGGCAGTTGCGGTCTCGTTTGCCATTAAAATCGTCTCTGCCAAAATTTATCCTCAGCCAAACAGTTACAGTAACATGAAATTGCCATTTTGTTTAATATTCGCCAGCGTATTTTGAGTATTGCTTTTTCTTTTCCATTTCGTTTTTTTTTTTTTTTTTGCATGAGAGGGGAAAACAGCAACTATCTGTGTCAGGATACGTCGCTTTGTGTTTGTGTAGCGACAGGATATGAAGTGCTGGTCGATTGCCACTGGGTTACACATAAGCGCCACCCGTAAGTGTGCACGTGTCTAATAATGAATCCCTTGCTCTACGGTTACGTCCTCTGTTCTACTGCCCCAGTTAATATTTATGCCAATCCCTGATATTATTTATTGCAATTGTCTGTCCAAAGTATCTAATGCATATGAACATAATAAATATAAATATTTATGTATCCTTAATTAATTTCAAAGCTAACATAAATAACAAATACCTTTTGCATTTGGTGTGGTACCTAAAAAAGTAATCCAGATGATTAACCTTGGACAAAATTAGTCTCGCTAAAAAAAATAGATGCATCTTCTATTCTTCTAATTTATTGAAGTTTGAAATCCATTCAAGAATTAAATTAAATATAGTAAATATGATCTCTAAACTTAAAAGGAATTCTGTTTCAATTTTTGCCGCGAAAATTGCTTTAATTACAATTGTTACTTGAAATAATTCTGGGAACCCTTGGGCGCTTCGGGCATGTAAACAGGAATATTAACAAGTAATAACTGTGCTGATGGCCTTGCCAAGGTTTTTCATATGTCTGGGGACATCCTTTTAATAGTTATTCAGATGTGTTTAATACACTCAGCTGGTGCCGCATGAATTGACCCCATTGGAGCAGCGGTAAATTGTGGCGTCGTGTGCTCAAATTGCTGAGGAAGCAGTCACTGTTATCCTTTTACCCAGTTGGCATGCGTACGGCAGCCAAGGACATTGATTCTCGGACGCTTTACGCCTGATTTGGCAAGCACATACTGCATGACCTGCGTGGAGATGCGTGCGTTTGGGTCGGCAGGAATAAATAGACAAGATGACAACAATGTCTGGGGACGGCTTTTGAGATGTTTGTTGCTATATTTGTTGTTGCTGATGTTGCTTTCATTTTCAGCTGTCGTCGGGGCAGGACTTCTGCTCAGACTGCGAGCCAACTGTTTTATTTGTTATTCATTGTGAAGGCTTGGACTTGGACTTGGACTGGGCCATGTGGACTGGCGGCTCAAATATGGCAGTGGGATTCCATTGTCAGCAGTCGAAATCCTCAACTATTTCATTTCATTTAATTTGATTTATTTGCTGGTAGCTCACTTGACTTTTGTATTTTTTACGCAATATTTATTTTATTTTTTTTTGACTAGTGAATTCTTTTGGACTGGGTACGCCCCTCGGTTAACGCCCCCATTCCGGTCGCAGGGCTCATCGCTGCTCATTTATAATGAAAACTCAAATCCAAATCCACGCAGCGTTGCAGCCAGGCGGTCATATCCTTGAAGTGTGCTAGCCCCAAGTCCTTGAGCCATAAAATCTTCACAGTTTGCGCCTGGCTCATGTCGTAGGCCGGGTTACTCTCGTATTTGGCATTGGCTCAGATAGAGAGAGCTCTGTTGCAGGCATTTCTCTCTGGTTGGCAGGCAAAAAATGTGAAGCCAAAAGATTAAAACCATAAATTCAGTTGCGCTTAGCAGCAGGGGTCGGTCCTGGGGGAGGGCGCGTCCTTCTTCTACTAAAGTCAAATAGGAAATATAGAGAACTTGAAATTGGGTGCCAAAATTAAATTATGATATAATGCTATACTTAAGGACACACAGTTTTTACCATCAGCTCAGTCCATGGCTAATATCTTAAATTTCGTACTAACTAATGTTAGAAATTATATATATATATCTTAAATGAAAAAATAGTTGGTAATTTTTAGCTTTATTTAAATATTTGAGTGAACCCTTAAAATTGCTCTTTTACACAACAGCAGATGTTAGCTATCCAATTTAATTAATAAATTTCAATGGTTTCTTAACGATTATGCATTAGCTAACTCTTGTTTTTGGGGCCAAGTCACGACTATTGGGCGTACGCACACACACACACGAGCGGCAAATTTTTGGCAGCTTAATAAAATTACACACACGCCATGTCTGCATATACACACTCACACACACTTACAAACAAACCAAATTCACTCACATATATTAAGAGCCTTTTCTCCAGCAATCTTTTGAAAGGTTTTTGGGTAAAAATATTTTGCATATTTTTACGTAGAATGTCGAGCCTGCAAACTGCGTGATGTGAAACGGAGTTCGCGGCCGTGAGCATTAACCCGCGAGTTCATGTGGAAGTGTGTGTGTGTCTGTGTGAATGCTTCTGTATGATACATAGTTGATAATTTCATTATGGGTGACTGTAGTTTATTGATTTTACCATCAGATGGAAGAATGATTCGCATATATTAATGTGAACCGTTACTCGGCTACTTAAGATTCATGAAATATTTAGAGTAACCGCAGGCAAACGACTCCCGACGGTATTTATAACTGAAGCTTATACCTAAACGTTTCAAAGTTTTTAAGTCTACTCAAATGGATATAATACAAGTATACAAAACAACTTAGTAAGCTTATTAGATAGCCTCATTTATATTAGTTCCATGGTGATTTTGTTGTGCTAACAACCTGTTATTACATTTTCATTTTTGTTTTAGTTGTAACAAGAAAATATTAAATATTCTCTCATTGACCATGCGGGAAACTATTCGGCAATCTCAATTTCGAAAGTTATCTGTTCGAAAGACATCTGAAGTGCAGCGGCACACGGAATCTTCAAAATTGGAAATCCAACCAACTGATAGCCGACCCCGATATACCAGTTTTAGTAAGCGCCATTTTTTGGATGCGGACTATGTAGGGAAGTTCGATGATTTCGAACTAATTCCGAAAAAATATGAGCCTGAAACTTCACAAGTTTTGAGCCGATATCCGAGTTATACCAATTTCAAAGTACCATTGTGAGTAGTGCAGCTGTGAACTTAACTTTACTTTGTGCTCTAAGTTAATAATTTTACAGCCAGATGGTCTGCAAAGAACGTTATTTCCACTCAAGCAAGAATTACGACCAACAGTTTGTCCGTGAAATTCAAAAAATAATCGATAATCAAGCTACGGCACGGGAGGCTACCTATTTTGTGCGGTAAGTCAAATAAAGCCATTTGGAATTTTATTCGTGTATTCAATGTCTTTCAGCATTGTGGGTTTTACGACATTATGGCCACCCTATCACAACGAAAAGGAATTGGTCGATACTAGCCGTAATTTCTATAGGCTGACACCTAAGGAACAGACACGCTTTCAATACATCATGTCGAAGAATTTCTCATAAGCATAAATTATAATTATAAACTACATTGTATAAATTTAAACATGAGTATAAATAAATTGGAACAAATAATTCCATTACATTACAGAATTAATTATTGAAATGCACACCACAATTATGATATTTTTCAAATGCTGAGACTTGACAATTATTTTTACAGTATTACTAATTGTTAGCATGTGGCGATTTTAGATTTGCAAGCATTTTTTTAACTTTTATTTATATCTTAACCCCTTACTTAAGGATCAAGCGAATTGCATATTCAGTTTCAGTGCCATTAATATGCGACAAATGTGGCAAAGTTATTGTATGCTCAGCAAAATGTTGCATATTTTTACAATTATAATTTGTATAATGTCGTCACTTTGGTTAGCTTTTCGATTGCATTTTGCAAAGTACCCAGAGTGGACAAAAACAGCAGCATAAATTGTTTAAGGCAAGTACAAGTGTTCGCTGCATATTCGATCTGCATAAATAGTTTCCGTTTCCGGGCAAACACATTTGCATGGCAAGCCACTCTGTCTCGGTGTCCGGCGGTGGGAGGTGTTGAGGAATTGTGGCTGGTTTTTCTGGGCATCATCAAGGCAACCGCAACGGTGGCCGACGCGCCTGTCATTTACATTAAATATTAACCCAAAATGCTGATAACCGCCACACATTACAAAACATGTTGGACAGCCACCCGCAACGGAAGTTGCTACATATAAAAGTAAAAATAATTTCCATCTTGAATATTTTGCAAGTTTTATTTTCTTAAAAAATACTACTCAAAATAAAATAAAAAGTAAAAAATAAAATATGGCAGAGGGAACGAGAATTTTTCACTTCACTGAATAATTCATAAATGCAATTTTGGCAAAAAAAATAAAATATAAGCAGCCTGAAGTCTCTCTGTTCCATTTCTCTCCTTCCCAATGGGTAGGGTAATGGGCGCGTGGGCGTGGCTTCAATAACTGCAGCTGTGCGCGATTGTTGTGTCGCCTCAAATGTCGTTGCAAAATTTAGCGTAAATTAAAAAAGAAAATATGAATGAAAAGCAAAGAAAACGGAAAATATTCAAGAAAATTGCTTGTGAACTTTGTGTGAGTTATGAAGTTGGATGTCACATTTGCGGTCTGCGGGGTGTGTACTAATATTTAGCATTCTGAATAAACGCCAAAAGTACGCAATACGCGCGCTGCTTAATTTTGTGGAAATAATTTTTGGTTTGTGACAGTGGAGTAAATTATTTATTTATTTGTTGCAAATAAGCTTTCACTCGAATAATTGCGTAGAGGTTGACATAAATAATTGATAACAATTGATTTTCCCCGTGGCCTTATTAGGCTTGTGTTCACTCAGTTAGGCATATTTTTTCATAAATTTTTGTTTATATTAAATATAATGTTATTTAAAAATTTTGAGTTCAATTGTCCATTACAGTTAATTGAATAACTATTTTTTATATGATAGTTAAGATTGAAATATCGCTGATGTGATGATTACTCGAGTGAACAATATTGTAGTTTAAGTGCCTACGATATTGAAATATAACATTTATAACTTTAGGACGATATTATGCAAGTTATCTAAATATTTTCCATAAGAGTTCCGAAAGTAAAAAAAAAACTTTTTACTCAACTTGCTTGGTGTTAGCTAGTTCTGCAATGCAAAATGAAAAGGTTGCTATTCATAAGTACACAAAGTCTCAACTATGTCTGTAACTGAGAAGAGCCATTAAAATAATCGCTGCAATAACCGCATTTTGCACAAATTTCAACTGCACTTCTCTTTCTTGATTTTCTATTTTTTTGTATTCTCTATTTAATTTTTTTTTTTTGTCGCTTTTGTCTTTTACCTTTTCGAAGTCAACAACGAGAAAAGAGAAAATTTGCATGCATAAGTTATGGATGCGGCAGGTTGTGGATTGGGGATTTCAGTCGGGAGAAACTGGCACAATTCACGCTGCTGCTGTTGGTTTGAGTTTGAGTTTGAAGAGCTGCGCAACATATTGACATAGTAAACTGCTTAGATTGTCAGAGTTCGAGCAGTGGCAGTTGAAGTAGGTGCATTGAAGTTTCAGAAGGTACGCGACTCCAACGTGAAGCCTCAATATGCCGCGAATACTAAACGTTGCATACTTTTGGCGTTGCACATCTGCACGTGCCTTACTCGCAACCTCTGCGGCAGGTATTTTGCTTAGCATATGTGTGTGTGTGTGTGTATCTACACTCAAGGAATATGGGCATATGGCCAAGTTAGCAGGCGCTGTTGCTGTTGCTGCTACTGCTGCTGATGGTGCTGCCCGGTTTGTGTTATACTTACCAACTTTAATTTCCACACACTCGCAAGAACATCATATGTATCATCGCTGAGGATGATATGCCCCTTGGCTGACTTTTTGGGCTTTTCTTCTCAGCAGCCAGCAGCCAGCAGCCAGCAGTGATGAGCTACATTTGTTTAAGGTCTCGTTAAATGGCAAAACGCGGACTTTACGAGAGAACCAAAGATGCTCTCTGCTCCCTTCTCTCTCACACATTCTCTCCAGCCGAATTAACGAATTGATAAAGCGCCATTTGGCCGGCGTTTTCGAAATGGTTCGTTTTTATTTTGTTTCCTCTCAGATTCGAACTAAAAGTCGCACGTGCGCAGTATGAATTGAAAATGAGCAACTTGCTAAAGAGTGTTTTATTTTTTTTAAATTGAGGCAAATGCACACGGCTTTTGGACAACAACAAAAAAGCAAAATAAAGGGATCTTGATTTCGAATATTGTAAAGTTGATGGCTGAACAAATTAACTTTGTCTAATATATACATGCGTATAATCAAGAGAAGCATGTATAAATTGTAAATGAATGCACATACATTTACATTCCAAGTAGGAATAATTATTATATTATTGGTGTTCTGAAGCACTCCTTAATTTTCTTCAATAATTCAATAAACTGTCCGGTTTCTCTATTTAAAATAGTAAATCGAAAGTTTTAAGTCTGCAACAGGAAGATTAAAATGTATTAATATTATTTCTATTTGCATACACAAATCGAAATCCATATCTCTTTGATTTTATGGTCAATTTTCAAATATATATATTGAGTGTAAGCAATTTATAATCCTTTTTTACCAAATTTATACGAATTCGGAGAGCTTGACTATAATATTTTTTAAACCAAAATATAACTCCAGATCTGTTTTAGATTAACTTATGAGATTGAAAATCATTTTTTACGTGAAAAGTAAAACTAAAATATTATTATTATAAGTAATTTAAATTGTTATTTTGATTAGACTGATTTATACACTATTTATAAGCAACTACCACAAAATCGAAATTTGACAATATTTCTATACCCCAACTCACGACAATATCCCAATATTTCGGATTGTTTCATAAAATACAGGGAATTCAATTTCTCTCAATTTCCCCTATCATGCGAGAGTCTCGAAAGTACCCGTGCCTCAATATATGGGACTCGAGCTGCGACATCCGCTCCAGCAGCCACAAACAACAGAGCACACACACTCAGTATACGTCGAGTTGAACTCTCTTGGTGTAGGTCATAAACTGATGCAGGTGAGCAGCAACAACTGGTCATTTGCTGGAGTAATGGAGGTGGGAGAGTGGTGGGTGGGATTGTACTATAAGGGGCTGTCCATTTAACGACTGAACTTGCAGCTGCAACTGCAGCTGATGTGTTCATCTTACTTTATTGGACTTGTTTGGCACATAGACATGCACATACACAGAGAGAGGCACTATTATATATATATTTTTGTTTTACATATTTTTGGCTGCTACTTTGGCTACTGACTCTTCGCAAACACATCCTGAGCGGATCGCCTTGGGGCTGCAGTCAACAGCATTTACTTGCGGGCGTTCATTTTGAGGTTGCAGACTTTACGAATCGGTCAGGTATTTTTATTTATCTACAAAAAAGCTCATAAACCTACGTTGTGTATATTGAGTTAACGCTGCTGTTAACGGCTGGCATCTGCTATTTTCACATAAAATGTATCACACATAGAAGGAGAGATCTGCAACTCTTAAAGATATACTTCAATATAAGGTACAATCGAGGCAATATAGTCAATGCCAGCTGTCCACTTAAGAAAATGCATTGAAATAGTCATTTAGTTTAAGACATCTTTGACCAGTATACCAAGGTATGAAATTCTCGGCATACCTAAATAAAATGCTTTTATTCTGTTTGACATTTCTTGTTGCAACCATCAAATGGAAAATTGCAGCTGCTGTGTGACTCTAAGCTGCTACTGTATTGACATTTGGCGTGTGGGTAATGTGACAGTTGACATAGCATCGATTCTGGACTTATTTTCCCAGTCTCTGTGATTTTTTTTTTCATTTTGCAATTATGTTGGATTGACATTTGGCAAAGGTCTTCGCATCAATCAAGTCAACTTTTGCCCACGCTTTAAGCTGAGCGTATACTTAATAGCTTGCAGCACAGTGATATAAATAAACACGTTGTATTTTCCAATTTATCGATCGGCTGCACCTTAATCTTTGCGTTTCTATTTGATCTGAGTAAATAGTTTTTATACTCCATTTTGGTATATTTATGTACGATGGTCGAATAATTCTAAAGACGGTCGAGGTAAATTTAACGAGCAAAGGTATTAAATAAATTGGCTACGCTTTGTCAAAGCTTTTTGATTTTGGTCAGTTTTCGTTTTGCTGATACATTTTCACTTAAAGCTATAATCAAAGTTGTGGCCATCCTCAATCTATTTAATGATCACAATCCAAATTTCTTCTCTATGCTCAGATAACTTGTGATGTTGAGATATTTCTAATCAAATATCCTTTTACAATAATGGAGTAGATTAAATTAAGAAAAAATCGAAAACGAAATATTTTTTTTAGGCATATTATATAAATAAAATTAATGAAACCATGTTATGCCAGTACGATTAAAAAGCTTACACTTTTCTTGTACATATTTATAAATTCAAACCCACTGTGAATTCATATTTTGCTTTTAGCAAAATTATTAGTCATTTATAATGAGTTTTCTGCCAACTTCTCACAACCATTGCTAAAACAGAAATATAC